TGACATCTCATTAAACTTATTTAAGCCATTGGAGTTAGGTTCATGCTTCAATACCTCCAAATCGGCTCAAACCGAAAATTGAAAAGTCGGGAAGCTAAGGAAATGAACCGGCTCTTAGACGTGACCGATTTTGGCGCTACAAGTCTCGGTTTGGAGCTGACCGGGACTGAAACAGCCGCAAAGTGACGGGTCGCGGGTCTGAAACGGGTAAACTCGTCGTGGCTGCGGGCTCACCGGAAAAGTTGGAAACGGAGTCGTGTGAAGGAGCTGCGAGAAGGGATGAAATGGAGCAGGGAGGTAGAAACCGAGCTGTTGGGCGCTGGACTCGTGATTTTCCGGCGGCCTGAGCTTGGGAGCGGCGGTTCTTGAGCTACGCAGTGGGCTGAGCTTGGGGACGACATTGGAGCTGCTGTGAGCGAGCTGGTCGGAGGACACACGGAGGTGAGCTGCTCGGTCGCGGGCTTGCAGCTGCGGCTCGACGTGGCTCGTCCTGAACGGCGAGCTGGACTGACTCCGACGGCGTGGTGGTATGCCGCCAGAAAACAGAGCTGAGCAGTGGTGGTTGGAGCTTGCTGCGGGTCGTGTTTGGCTCGCTGCGGGTCGCCGGTCGGAAAGACTCGCCGTGGGGGGCTTCGCTGGGAATGTCTCACCGAGCTGTGGTGGTGGTCGGCCGGAAAAAATGGAGCTTGGGACCTTGGGAGGTGAAGATGGTGAAGAGAGAATGAGAGATGGGGGAGAGAGGGCCGCGCGTGGATGATGCTTTTGTGGAGGAGAAAAATAGCTAAGTGTGAGTATTTATAGGTACAAAGTAGCTAGGGTTTGACTTGGATATTAGGCCTAAAAATCGGGCTTAGGATTTCATTCAACCGGGCTTCAAAAAAAATCTTAAAATTGGGCTAGTAAAAATTCTAACACTCGGGCTCGATTAATCCGGATAGTGACTAGGAAATTTAAATGCCCGATTAATAAAATTAGTTGAACTCAAACTAATTAAATTAACCGATTAAATAAAATGCGACGGCTTGTAGTAATAATTTTGACTTGGGCCGAAATTAAATATTGGGCCCGGAATAAAAATACTACGATGGCTCGATATTAAAATATCGTTTGGTCTAGAAAATCAATTCGACTACTCGAATTAAAATGGCCGACTAAAATAAATTATTGTAATTCGCTCGAAAATTAGTTGGGCTTGAATAATCAAATTATCCGGCTTCGGATCACTTAAATAAAATTCCAACTTTAATAAATAAAGTCGAAAGAATTATTCATGGCTTAGACTTTAATATTATTTATTTATTTTAATGCATATAAATATATTAAATGCATCAAATTTAGAAACTTAATATTTATGGAAATACAGTCGAGCTCCATAAATAGTAAATAAAAATCTGGGCGTTACAACCTGGGCCACGCTGAGGACGTCACTGGGCCGCGCACAAGGGCTTTTGGGCCGCAGAGAAGCTCTGTTGGGCCAGGGCACACATCTGGGCCGCTGAAATGGACGCGGGCTACATCGGGCTGTCGCAGGCTGGAGCTTGTGAGGTGAGCGGGCCGCGCGGGCTGCACCGCCCGCGCGCCCTTTCTCTCCATCAGCTGGGCTGCGCATGTTGGGCCTTCTGACTTGGGCCTTCCGCGACTCTGGGCTTCTTCCTCACAGGCCTGCTCGCTGCGCTGGGCTGTTGAAGCTGGCGGACTGGACTGCTCCTTGTGCTCCTGGGTTACGTGCAAACGTGCTGGGAAGCTAGGCTGCGCGTGGATTGAGCAGACTGGCCCTGGTGGTGCGTGTAGGCACGTGAGTGGCCGGAACCGGAGGCGTCTGGCGGTAGCTTGTCACTGGAATTACGCTGGTCATCATGGGGTGGTCGCCGGAGGTCGTCGATGACTCCCAACATATCTGATTTGCACAATCTTGTCTTTTCTTGTAGAACGGACAACCCGCGAATTACAGATAAATTACGGGGATGAATACATATATATTACGGGGCTGAAAAATATATATAGATCGCTCAACAACCTCAGATCTTCTGTTGTATGACCCGACATCTAATCCGATCATCTTGGTGGTCGATAAAATCGGATCTACCTCTACTGAGATTACTTGGGAAAGAAGAAGAGAATATAAGAGAGAGAAATACAAGGGGCGGCGTGTATATATTTGTCTCACACGTAAATGACTCTTAGAGCATCTCCAGTGTGGTATGTTGTTGTGGAAAAAAATTTGCCACGTAATAATAAATTCACTATCAGTCCACATTTTATTTCTCAATGGTAATATAAAAGATACATGTTGTGATGAGTTGGCAGCAATTATTTTCTATGATAGAGACTGTAGAATATCTACATCCTTCTCCACATGTTGACTCAGCAAATTTGGGGAGAAGAGTTCTTAAAATCGACCAAAATCTGCTAGGAAAATTTGGCGGCACCCGAATTCAATCGTCAAACTGGTAAAGAGCAATTCTCTTATCGTACAACTTAACTATGCTCGTATCTGGTTGAAAAGTTAATTACCAATTCAACAAATGATTTTCTGGTACGTGATGCTTTCCTTTCTTCATTATGTAATTATTAATTATGTGAATCGAAGAAGTGTGATATAGCTTTCTTTTCTCATTCGGTAGAAGAAATTTTGATATTTTGGGTTCATTTTTCGTATTCAGGATGTTTGAGAATAATATTCTGCATCGAAACCCTTTTTTCCTGTTTCATTTCAATTTATACATAAAAAGGTTCTTTTTTGTTTTGTTTTTTTTTTTCGTTTTATATAATTTTCTTTGGACAATTTGAAGTGGTTGAATGGACGACAGATTATTTGTACAAGATTCAACATCATAGACAAACTCAAGATCAGACAATAACCAGAAATTTCACTCCTTTACAAATGTTATTAAAACTTTAAGATGTTAGAAATAATTCCTGTAGTTCAAATATTATTGTCCATATTCTTGATGTGATAAGTGATAATACATAGATTAGTAATTAATACTATATGTAGTATTGACATGTATGATTGAAGCTTTCAGAGGTTCTCATATTCTTATCTCCAAACATCTATTATTTTAGTGACAATATGAAATAAAGAATACACACCCCAAGAATTATCTCGAATGATCCCTAAGATTTGAAGAATATGATTTAGTCGAGCTCCGTATAAGTAGTTGTTCCGGTCAGCGGACGAAAGCCCTAGTCAAGAGCTGCTTGCCACACTTTCTGTATGTCAAATATCATATCCCCACATTCGTGCACGTTCTATTCTTCAGTCCATGTATTATGCTAGCTATGTGCCTTGAACGCATCACCCTTCTGTTAGCCAGTTCTATACTCGACCGACATAATAAAAAGAAATAAGATATAAAGGAAAAGCAAAAAACAATTTAGAGGGAAATTAAGCTTGATTAGAATGATCCTAAGTCCTAACCTCACTAGAATCGACATTCTCTAGATGCTTCGGGACTTGCATTGCTAGCGTGTTGTTGTAAAAAAAGCTTTTCCGGGCGGGAACTTAGAGAAGTGTATGAATGTTGTTCCTTTCGATCCCTTTATTTGGTAGGTATCTCGAAGATAGTCACCCACTAGCCATGTCTGCAAAATCACCACTTAATTTGTATCAGCACAAATTATTCCAAATTTTCAATACTGCTGATGTTATTAGGATTTCCTATAAGCTTCTTAATGGATGGAGACAAAATAAATAAACAAACCTTTGGAAGATTGATCGGAGAGAGCATCAGATTATGTACAACCTCACTTGTAAGATTTGTTTTCAACTTCTTGTACTCTTCGTCGTGCATCGTGCATACCTATATATAGTACATGTTATCCATCCTTCAAAAAATTGTAAATAAGATATGTTTATCAGAACATATATACTTTTAGCGAGCAGTCCGTTGTACCTGGATACCACCCTGGCACAAGGCCAGGGCAATCGAGTACACAACCTTAGAGAAATTGTCCGCAAGGATTACCCGTGTTGTTCCTTTCAGGATGTCGTTGAGCACGATAGCAACCCCTAGGCTGCTCCTATCCACCACCTTCACTTCAACTGAGGTTGTCTTATTATGAATAGTTCCCTACTCTTGTTAAACCCCTCATTCTGAATCAATTGTGTGCTAGAATTTATAATAGTAATAAGAAAATAAAGGGAAAAATAAAGAACAAGAACAATAGAATGTTAGAGCTATAATATATGTGTATGGCTTGCCTGATTCGATAGGCCTAATGTCAACACCTTAGTGCCTTTTCTGTCAGCTTCTAGAGTTGCATCTTTAATCATCAGATTCTTGCTTGTAGTTAACAAAAAAAAAGAAGCTAATATCCACTTATGGGATTTAAAATGTGACTTTCAGCAAAGAACTACTAGCCTCATTTATTGCTTATGTATAACATGTTTAGCATGTATATCAATTAGATTCTTGAGTGAGTTCCTATTTTTAACCATCATTTTTTATCAAATATTTTATAATTGTGATGTTGTGGATAAAATCTTTTCTTATCGATATTATTTTGTTCAGCGTTTTTGTAATTCTTCTTCGTTTATAAAGATGGACAGGAATCCTAAAGAATCTCATCCTCCTGATTTCCATTTGAATTCAAGTGGATTATATCCTTCTCATGTTGACTTACAATATGGAGCCACTCCTACGTTTCAAAGCTTGTTGAACACTCCAATGGTAATCAATCAAGGCGGTGTTAACAATGTTCATTTTCCTATCTACACTCCAATGACCAGCTTTCAGACACATAGTAACACCTCTTTGGGTAGCACCCGAATTCCTGTTAACACTTCAACTGTCCCTTCTCAAATTGGTGGTAACACCACGGGCATGGACAATCAGAATCAAGAAACACCAAAAGGATAAAAAAAAAAGAGAGTTAAAGGTGTCCAAACATCAATCGGTAAAAAGGATTGGGGTGTAGAAGAAGAAGAAGCTTTGACGAACGCATGGTTGAATGTGTCTTTGGACCCTATTGTGGGTAACAATCAAAAAGCTACTGCCATGTGGGTTCGTATCCATCAAGTATGGAAGGAAAACATGGGGCCTGGATGCAACTATCTTAGATCGTCTAATAGTTTACAATGTCATTGGTCCATTATACATGCAACAGTAAACAACTTTGCAGGACACTATTCTAAACTAGAAAGGCATCCTCAGAGTGGTACAAACTCAAAAGACTTGGTAAGTATACTATTTTAATTTTAAATGTTTTCATCATTAAATTATTTTCTTGTTACCTGTACATTTTTTCATTTTTTATTTATTATCTTTGTAGATTCACAAGGCGTTGGATATGTACGAAGATATAGAAGGTAGCAAATTCAAATGGGTTCATTGTTGGGAAATAATGATTAAAAATCCAAAATGGCAATCGAAACATGATAAGAACATTGCACCAGATAGACAAGCATATGATGAAAACAAGTCGCCTACATCTGAAGAGTCTTTGCTGAATATCATTGATGATAACGTAACACCTGAAGGTAATAACTGTGATGGTGTGGGACGACCAATGGGAAGAACAAATAGTAAAGAAAAGAAAACTGCATGATGAAAAAGGTGTGGTGGATGCATTAAACAACTTGCAGTCCACTTTGGCAAAGCAGATCAGTATCAATGAAAAAATTTTGGAGATGAGAAAGAAAAATGAGGAAGAAAATATCCAGTTGAATGAGGAAGAAAATATCCAGTTGAAAAGGCAAGCACTGAACAGGGAGATGGAAATGAAGATGAAGGAACAAAGGAGAAAACGACAAGAACGGATAATGAACCAAGATTTAAGCAAGCTTACACCAGTAGCTAGAGATGCGTATGAAGCCATGCAAGTCAAGATTTTGAAAGAATGGGAAAAAGATGATATATTTGAAACTGATATAACAAACTCACAGCCTCACAGGTATACTACGATGTGCTTTTGATTATTTTTTTTAAAAATGTCTTGATACATAATTTCTCTTTTTTCTATATTCAGGATTTTTGAGGCTTCAACAAAGACCTGGAGTAATTTTAGAATTGTTCAAGATTATCATGCTGAACATTTCCTTAATGTATTTTTTATTTTTATTTTTTTAATATCACACTAGTTTGTTGCTACTTTTATTTATGATATAAATGATGTCCATTTGGATTATTTGTCATACCATTTTCATGTTTTTTTTAATATATGAACCATCCAAAGTTTGTTGAGATTTTAGCAGGAAAAAATGAATTATGTATGTACCCAATCCTATTTCAAAATAATAGTATCAATTAAAAACTGTCTCAAAAGTCACAGAACTCAAAATCTACCTAAATACAATCTAAGTAAATTCAATAGCACAATTTTTTTTCTTATTTAAAAAAGAAATAGTCTGATACCATTTGTTGTAAAATACTTGGGTCCATTTAGCTAAAGGCTAAACATATTGAATTAATATTTCAAGCTCTTTAGGTCACATAAAGTTACATAATTAGCAACCATCAT